AAGGGAAGGGGACTGCGGCGGCCATGAAGTGTGTCCTTGGGGGGGCTCATCTCAGAGGTACCCGTGGCCCCAGGGGAGGTAGAAAGCCTGAGAGAGAAGGGTGTATGTGGGAGAAACAGGCATCCCAGAGCAGGGCCGCCTCAGTGGGGCCGGCAGCCATGGGGATGTGCAGATGGCCTGGTGCTGCCCTCAGTGGGCTTCCCCATGAGGGGTTTCAGATGATGCAGAGTGGGACACTAAGCCCTGAGAGCTGCAGCCAGCCCTGCCACAGTCACAGCAGAGCTGAGGAGCTGCCTATTCCTTGTGCCAAGGGGGACAATGGCGTTTTCATTGAGAAATACAGTGCCTCAAAATTGTTGAGAGTGGAGAGCAGAGGGCTGGATTTGTAGCACCTTCAGGTGGAGACGCCATTGCTTAGCTGGGCACCTCCCTGTGCACGCTATTCTTCCAGAGTCTCCACTAAAGCTCCTGCACACAGTATTTTGTGCAAAATGCCAGTGTCAGGGCAGGCAGAGGCAAATTTTGAGACCTACTGCTCGTTTCTTCTATGTTTCTTAGGGCTACGTCTTCACAGATCTCCAACTGCTTACTGCTTGTGCAACCTTTCTGCCATCTGTAGGGTGTAATTTCTAAGTTAAGTGGCATTTTCTCCAATTAGATTGAATCAATTTGTGGTGACATCAGGTCACATAAGTTGCTGCAAAGGGACAGCTGATGTTTGAGGTGCACCTCATTGGAGGCAGCTTTCAAAAATATCAAGGTGTTTGTGCTACTCAAAGAGTAACGTTTTCCACCATGTCATCAGTTTTCTTTGAATGTGTGGGAAATTTGTAATGTTTTCTCTTAAATTATTCTGGAGAAAATGCAGTACTACTGGTTTTTAACTTATAATGCATCTTGCACTCTTTTCTTTTCCTGCTAGTGTTTGGAAGAGCAATACACGCCATAGCACGTATTAGTGACGAGTTTTGGTTTGACCCCGTAGAAAAAGGTGTAAGTGAATTTGATTTATTGTAATTTAAAAACCTTCCTGGGAAGCACAGTATTGACGTTGTTGGATAGTGTGTTGTTTTCCTACAGGTACCCTTCAGTCTGAGTTGCATTCCCTCTCAGCTTCCTCCACTTTCAATATGGACAAATGCCATCTTTTCTGTAGTTGTAATTATGCAGATAAAATCATGGAAGATTCATTCCTACTCTGCCCCTCGTAGTCTTCAGGTTTTTGTTACCCAAAGTGCAGCTTGTCCAGGACATCTGGATTAATACCAAGGGTTTTAATTCTGTTGTCGTGGGTCAAAAGGTTTATGCTTTGTACCACATCAGAAGCTGCCTCTAAACAACATGTTTTTGTACTGCTATGACTCAACAGGAAGAATGCACCCATTAATATGCCTCTGATTAATCAAACACCATTTCCAGCAAAATTAGGTTTTTCTCCAGAGGTTTCCTAGTTAACAGTGATCAACTCCCCTTAAGTTGCTGGAAGGCTGGAAAATCAGAAGCAGAGATAATTGCATTTAACACCTGAAGAGTTTTTGAGGTGCTCATTTGTACATGGGAATGGGCGTACAGGAAAACTGCTTTAGAATAAACTCCAGTCCTTCCAATGTCTCAAATGTGAACTGAGCTTTTAAGTGTTGGGGTAACTCACACTTCAGGGCCACTTAAACATCCGTAGAGTGGATTCCTGCAGCTGTCTGATACCAGTGACTTCTGACCAGTAATGATGAAGGTGATCAGTTTGAACATGATTACATGCACGATGCATCTGTATTTATTTTGAGATGTACCCAATTCAAGGTTTTGTGGTTTAGGTGTGATGCTGAAGCACGGAGATGGCTTTTTTTGTTAAGGGTTCGATGTGAAATTGTTTTGAGTTAATAAATTGTTTTACTTCTGTTTCCAGCTTGCTTTAAGATCAGTGAATTCTTCAAGATCAGCATATGCATGTGTCTTCTTCTCATCTCTGTTTTTCCAACATTACTGCTGGACAGCTGCATCTCAACCACGTCAGAAGGAAAAACAGTTATCCCTCCCATGTAAATTGATAATTAAGGTACATTTGAATGGATCGTTATGCACAGCTTTGGAAGCAGCAAATCAGCCCAATTTCCAAATGAAATTACAGGGGTAGGCTCTCAGAGGCATGCAGATGGCTCTAACCTCAAGCGTTTCTGAGCAATTCTGCAAAAGAGCGCGTTGGTACTTAAGGACGTTGAGGAGTTGAACCCCCTGAGCTGCGCCCTGCGCTTTGCATTCTGAACCAGCTTAATCCTGGGGTGAGAGAATCTCACATTTCTGCCTGGGTAAAATATTTCTGACCAGTTCAGCAGCCACGTGTTGGGCGAGGATGGCAAGGACCAGCGTTGGCCTCCTCATATGGCTGCTTACAAAGCACTTTGGGGAAGCTGTAAAAGCAGGAACTTGAGGTAAACGGTGCGTAACTTGGGAAGTAACATTGCAAAATTGCTCAGTGAGTAACCTCTGCACTGATTTGGTTTCTTTCACAGTCAGTTCTTCCTGTATTTAGATGTGTAAATGTGCTGGAAAGGAATGTAGAGAAGTGCAGCATTTATACAAGTAATGATCATCACATAACTTTTCAGCTCCTCTGCAAACATGGTAGGTTACACATAAAGTGACTTTACAGAAACAGAAGCACTTTAAAGCATAATGTTTAGTGTAGTTATTAACTGAATGGTATTGATGGAACATTATGCCAAATGCAGCCTCTTCACATTGTAATTTATATTTACCATGCCTTGTTAAAAAGAAGTTACAGCAGACTTTGTCAGACAAGTGTTCTTCAGTTCAGCAGTTATGCAAACAGGTTAATTCAGCTGTCTGTCTGTGGGTGAGTTACTTCCACATAGCTGGAGTGAGCTGCTTGGCTACTTTCTCCTCTGGGATTTCCTAGAAGAACTGTTAACACTGAAAAAAGATTGAAAATTACAGACCAGCAGTGATTTTTTTGTTCATATCCTTTATACGTAGGTGTTGTAAAAACATACAATCTGACTTTCCAAGACTGTGATCCATTGCAGGCTGTTTTTGCAAAGCACATGTGTCCAAACATACTTAAAGTCCACTCCAGGTAATGAATACAAAACCATTATTTCGGGGGGAGGGCAAGGTGGGAAATCATATAGGAGACAGTACTGCTCTCATAATAGTCATGAAAAGAACCCAAATCTGATTAAGCACAGTCAAAAATGGTGAATTCCTAAATTCTGTGTCTTGGTGCTGGATTTTTCACTTTACAGCTTGAGAAACCTGGGTCACTGCCGTTGATCCGGCTCAGTCTGACCTTGGGACGTGCAGTGCAGAATTTGAATTCGCACCTTTCAGCAGCTTCCACCTGAGACCAATGAAGTAGCACTTTAATTTCATGGGCAAAGAAGCCAGTAAATGTATGTTTTTTAATGCCTTAAGGCAAAGTTCTGCTTTGAAAAGCAGCCCCAGGAAGAATCCAAGACTCTGCTCATCACTGCACACGAGGGCAAAGAACCAAAGTGGTGCTTGTGCACAGGAGCCCTTGCCACAGAAATCAGCCGTTAAAGGTGTATAAAGATACCTCTGTAGAGATATTGTATATGTTTATGTGACTCCTAAAACTGCAAGCTTTTAAAGAGCGAGCACAGCACACCGAGGTTTGCCCAAAACTGTGATACCTATATACAGAAAGGTAGGGGGATCTCTATGTGTGTAAGACTGATTTGGCAGCATGCACAGGCATTAAATAGAAACAAATTTGCTTTTGTAATTACTAGTTATATTTTTAGATTTCTTGTGCACTTGTTGCCATATAAATCAATTAAACTGCAGGGTTTCAAACCGCATTGCCAAGTAGCAGTGTTTCATTTCTAACGTGCGTAACAAATGCTACCCACTCATTTGTGGCAGGTGAAACTGTTTTAATATTGAATTAACTTTTATAGGCTGCTGGCTGATGTAATGATTCACTTCCCGACCAGCCAAGAAGAAGTCACCTTATCGGTTACTCCAATGAAAGTTTGTTTCAAGAGTTACACCGAGGAAGACACTGGTAAGGAAATTCAAAATGTGAAACAATATTGGGACCTTAGAGCAGGTGAACTAAAGGAACAGTAACTATCGCAACATAAATGTATTTTGTGGCTGAATGAGATCTTTAAGAGAGGGAACATTAATAGATTTTAAGCCATATTGCCACCCTCTGGTTCTAATATAGTTTAAGTAAGTGTTTTAAATAACATTTTCCTGCTATCAGTGGCAGATATCAGACTGAGCAGCTAATTGAAATAAATTATGCTGCTTGCTGTAGGCTTGAACAGAGATAATGACTGTGCTGCAAGAGCAGAAAAAGGAGCTAATTTTATGTTTTAAAAAGAACTATTTAAATCTGAATACCATAATTATAGAATTGATACCATTACGGAGTTTATTTTAGTTCCAGGGCACTACAGTGCGTTTAGCTGGCCTAAGACGCTGCGCACTTCAGATCAGCCTGCGTTCTTGGGGTGTGACTCAAACTCATTTTAAAGATGTAATTGTGTTCTGGAAGTGTAGGTTCTTGTATCTCATGTAATGGGAGATGTTTCTCATAGCTGCCGATGAGCAAGGCTGGGGATAATCACCTAGGAACCGATGACTGCCCAGAGCGCAGGGGTGGGGACTGTGCTGAGGACGCGCTAAAGCAGGGGCAAGCAGGGATTATCTGGGGGAAACTGGAGTGAAACAAGAAGAAATGACTGAAAATAGACTAAAGAGAGTGTATTTTGAATGACAAATTTGGTTAGTTTAGAAACATACACTTACTGCATGGGTTACTGTAAGAAAGAAAGGGGAAAAAATAGTAGGTAACAATTTAATGAGATGCCAGAAAAACCAACAGTCAAGGAGAAAAAGGCAGAATCAGAGGCACTGTTCGTGTTGTGTAGCACAGGATGCAGTCTGTTGCCTGCAGCAAACGTTCTGTGTGCACCAAAACAGTGCGTGAACACATCGTCTGGTGATGGCTTGGGTTTTTCCACATTCAGGTTTAACTTTCAAAGAAAGAAGTTACACCTTCTTCTGCCTAGACTTGTTCTCATTTGCTCTGCTGTGTGGGAGCCAGCAGCCGTGCTGTGTATTTCCACAGTTTGAAGGAACTTCACAGGAGTGGATTTGAACACGCAATGGGGCCTTGTTGAAGGCTGAGAAAACAAAAACCCTCTTGAGCAGAGAAGCAGAGGTCTGGGAACAGTTTGTAAAGGTTTTAGCAGCCTGGCTGTGGGAGAGCTGGCTGGGTGTGCAGAGTTTTCCTGAATGCCTCAGACTAATGGTGATGGAAGTACCCCTGGCTGCCTTTTCACACTCCTAATCTTAACAAGCAACAGTTGAATACCTGAAACTGAAGCGCCTTTTTCCTGCTGCCACTTACGTATCAGGAAAAGATTATAATTTAAAACAAAGAACCTAAGTCCACCTTCATTGTCCCTGGATGGTCCTCAGCAATTGTGATTAATCCGTTAAAGCCATGTGGCATTTTGGTCTTCCCATCTATGCAGCAATAAGCAGCTGGGGATACAACTGGTGCTGAGAGCCTGTGACAAGGCAGATTTGCAAGAACAGCAGCAGGTATCGGGTTAGATCACACAATGGACCATAAAATAGGTTCTATTAAAAGCCATTTAAATCTATGTAATATGCTGTACATAGGTTTAGGATTTTATTTTAGTTATGAAATAAATTTAGATAAGCTAAACATTTATTACTGTTAGTCACTGTAAAAATACAAATATTTGTTCAAATGATGCTGGTGTAAACCTCATGGTTTTACTCATAGTTTTGTTGAGTTTAAACTTCACTCCTTTGACTCCTTGACTTTCTTGTTATTTTAAACAGATTTTTCAAAGACAATGCTTACAGAAATACAACTGAATCCAGAGGAGTTTGACTACTTTCAAGTTGGAGTGGATTCTGAAGTGACATTTTGCCTTAAAGAATTGAGGGTAAAGCAAGAATTTGTCTTGAAAAGAAAACATTTCCCATTAAATTGCATGACCTGACCAGGTTTTCTGTTTTTAAAACCACACTTAAGCACCCACCCCTTCTTTTCAGGGCCTACTTTCATTTTCAGAAGCTGCCAGTGTTCCCGTCTCAATCCATTTTGATGTATCTGGAAAGTACGTTGTGGAACACGCATCTAAAACTACTACAGCTCTGTCTGCAGGTTACACAGTGAATATTTAACTGGAACAGTAAACCAGATTTTCTTTTTGTACCAAAAGCAGCATTTCTAATCCCTGATACAGGGTTAAGTAATTTGTTATTCTGCATAAACCAATTAACAGGGGCAGCAGCATTATTTAGCCAGCCATGCTGACCAACGAGCACCTACACCTTTGGACACTTCAGGTTCTCAGACTAACGCAGGCAGTGATTTTATTGAGTAGTCTGATGAAACAATATGTTTTCAGTTTACAAGATAATTTTAATAGTTACATACTTAAAATGATAATTTGGCTAAGTCTAATATCGGATAGCATTTGCTCATTGGTGCATTTAAATCCGTAACAGACAGCCAACTCGTGCTCTTCAGCAGCAAATACATCAGATATTTTGCTTTTCAGAGGAGGCACTTTCTAATCTTTATGTATAAAATAGCACAAGCTGTGCGTCCTCCCTCAATACGTGCAATTACCCATCCTGTTTTAGCCTCTGAATGTTTGTGTTTAGACCAATTGCTTTCAGCATTGAAGACATGGTGCTGGAAGCCAGCTTTATTTTGGCTACTTTGTCCGAGGCTGAGAAGGAGACGACTTCCCAGCAGCCTCCCGGCTTTTCGCCGCAGCAGCAAAGGTAATGGTGGGCTGCAGGGGCGGGCAAGGGGGTCAGGCTGCCTCCGGAGGGTGAAAATGTGAAGGTTATAAAGTTTTCCAAGTTATATTTAGGATGGAAAGGAAGAGAACTGCTCGTTCTTGGTAAGCATCGAACGGATGCTGGAGTCTTTGCTCACAGGAAAGGTGTGAACTGGACGGGGTCAGGAACATCTCAGCATCGTGCACAGCAACACAGCTTGGTGCCACAGAGAGTGCTCTGTGCCAGCTTCTGCTTTCCTTGATCTCCACGGGGTTCTGTGGCAGTGGGAGGGGAAGGGAAGAAGCTTGTAGAGAATTTATTCTAAAGCCATAATGCTTTTCATTAACAGAAAATAAAAGACATTCTAACAAAACCACGTAAAAGCCAGTCACTAACCTGCCCTCCTCTCCAATCCAGCTCAAAGACACGTATGGGCGACTCTGAAAAAGCCTCTGTGGATGAAGACGGCAGCGCAGAAGTTGTTGTTTCCAAAAAGCCACAGTGGAACGGAAATGCCCCCACCACAAAGTC